TGTGTACAGTATAAAACAAAAACAAAAAAATTTGCAGATTAACTATATCTTTTCGCGCATTTGAAAGTGTTACAAAAATCAAAACTTTGGGACACATATTTTTGTAATTAACCTTCCCTGTGGCCATGTGTGGTCTAATACGAAATTTGGGCCCGATAGATTCGGCCGTTTTGACGTTTATTGTAGACAAACAGACAGACATGTAGTAAATGCACTACTTCATTAAAGGTTCTCGAACACGTATCTATCCAGGTTTTACTTAGCAATGCTAAACCCAGATACAATCTCATGAGCTATCGATGTCAATCAGACACTATAGCTCGTATTCTGTCAACGCCAAACCAATAGGCGCGATCTCGTCAGCTAACAATGTCAACAAGGACAATAGCTTTTAATCGATCAATGCCAAACCAATGGGAACGATCTCAGCTTGTATGTTTCAACAAGAACCAATTACTCTCTTGGCAGCAATCAAATCGTAGTTTCTATATCAACTGGGTATATTTCTAGATGTTAGATTAAACTTAGGTTTTAACAGCGTTAGTACAAGTTATGCGCTGTTATATATAACGTAGTTAAGCAATCACAAATGGGTTTGATATCTACGTATCTAGATTGGGTTAATCGCAATACATGATTTACATATTTACACATTTAGCTATATGGGCAATGTACAACATAGTTTATCTAGATTTACTATTGTGGCCTCTGTATTTATTATAGACACAAGCAAAGAATATAAATATTTTATTATTATTTTGGATCTAGAGAACCCTGACCTGGTCCAGCTGCTCGAGGTTGGGTTCTCTGTGAAGGGTCAACCTATCCTGGGAGTTTCAGTTACTTCAGGAGTTCTGAACAGAACCAGACTCAGGCCAATGGTAGGAAGCTAAGAGGGGGGGGGGGGTTATATGTTAAAAAACAAACGTCTATACAATAAAGAAAGATAGTTTTTAAAATTTTTTAGTCTGACAGGATAATAGTTAAGCTACAGAGCTGATTTCATTGAAAAGCTCTTGATAAATGAAGATAAGAACATGCGTATCATCTTGATTTTTGCTAAATATTTTAAAATCACTTTATAACATTTTTCTTTTTACAACTTTTTAAAAACCTCCCGATCATCTTACAAATAAGTTACTTTAAAAATTTTGTTAATCTTATATGGTTTGGTCTCTCAGGCTATTACTATATGCATTATACACATAGAAAATAGAATATATATTAGCGTGGAATTTAGAGAATTTTAAATGTTCACAAATTATATGCAGTAGAGTATATTCTATTCTTTTTGACTATACAGTACAGATTATACCCCCGGACCTTTTTTGAGTGAATAAAACTAAATATGAACATTTGCACTAAATCTTAAAAGATGTGCCTGTTAAAAATATGTCGGCAGGTCTTTTAATTATGTTTAAACTGTAGGTGAAGTATATTGGTAATATACATGGTAATGAACCGGTAGGTCGGGAACTATTGGTTCATCTTCTCCAGGTTCTAGTTCGAGGATACAGGCAGAGAGAACCAAGGATATTCAACCTTCTAGGTAAACAAACTATCCAATATCTATGTCTAGAAGTTTAAAACTTTAAATTTTTTGTTTCATCCTTAACTCTTAAATTATTCAATTTATAAAGATTAATTTTAATTTCTATTTTTAAATGTGAATTTCTGATTCACAAATCACAATGATACTCTCAAAAGATATGTTCGATAAAGAACGTAGGAGATATTTTTTCTTTGAAAATTTACTTTTTGTCAATTACTGTTTCTTTATAAAGTGACACGCGGAATTCTGTTTCAGAAAAATTTGAGGAAACTGAAGAATTAAACAAAGTTATAAATATCTTCTACATTATTAATCAAATAAAGATTCAAAGGGTATTGTTGTAAATCGACCATGCCCATCCTAAAACTTCAGGATTTTTTTTTTATTTTCAGATTCAAATTAAATTTTTCACATGCCTTTTCTATTTTGTCTAAAATCTAATAGATTTTCTTTTTATTGCTTAATTTCTTTATATGTTTGCAGAGCACACTAATATAACAATAATACCAACGATGAACCCGGACGGATTTGATAGAAGCAAGGAAGGAAAATGCTTTGGTTAGTATTTTAAGACGCATCTAGTTGGGGGGGGGGNTCCAAAAAAAAAATCAATTTTCAATTTCTTGGTTTTCGATCAGTTTCATTTTCAGACCTTTTTCGTCATTCTCTTATTTTCTTATTTTATTTTGTCGATTAAGGTACTTTCAAATTGCAGTTGTTTTTTGAATTAGCAAATTTTTAGAATTTCAAAAGATTCCATCAAAATTTACTGCAAAATCCCAATCAAAATTGGAAAAAAGGAAAATTTTAAGAAAATTAAGAATTACATTTTTTTTTATTTGTTTGTTTTTTATTAATTAAACCTGGAATCTAGGTGGTGACTATAAGACTGGAAGGTATAACGAAGGGAGGAAGGATTTGAATCGTGATTTTCCAACATGGCGGGATACTAACAAGAGCTTAAACCAGAACATGAAGGGCAGACAACCTGAAACTAAGGTACTAAAGGAATGATCAAGAGTAAAAAATGCAATTAGCTGCAAAGGGTTCTAACGCTGCGGCTAAATAAGGTTCGGGGGCCGATCGCTGCGGCTACATTGCCGCTGTAATGAAATTATACAAGAAAAGTCATTATTTTTTAGGCTTTAATGAAATTGATAACCTCTGAACCTTGGGTTCTATCAGCAAACTTCCATGGAGGTGCTGTGGTGGCCTCATATCCTTACGATGATTACAGGTTTTTAAATTGTACTAAAGGGACTTTAAACGTAGTTTTAAGTGACACTCCATTAGTAAAGTGGAGATATCAATGATTTCTTTTGAAGAATTGGTAATTTAAAATTGTGGGTTCTTTATGAAAGTCTCTTGCGGATTTCTTGCTACTGAAAAAAGGGAGAAAATTGTTAAGAGTTAAACAATTTTCAAGTTTTGAAAACATCAAAACCTTTGAGATCAGATACAAATGTGTTAAGGGTACCGTTGTGAATCGGGCATTATCCTCCTTAATTCGAGGTACAGTCACTTGAATATTGATCTATCTAAGAAATAATCTTATTCTTCTCCTCCGTTAAAATATATTTGATTCCAATTAAAGACTCTGATAATTACAGAAATTTAGGTTTTCAGTACATTTAATAGAAAACCAAATTAACTTTAGATGATAATAGTGATTGGTTCCAAACATATTTATAAATATATTATTTTAAATCCTTACACGGAACCACACTTTTTTTTCTTTGTGTATAGAGTAAACGAGGTGATACCACATCTTAGTTTTTAGAGAGATACCACAACTGAAAATACTCAGTTTTCAGATAGTATTACAATTATCTAGACCAAAGGTTCTCCATTGAGAATAGGTTTACGCAAACCGTGCAAGCTCTGCACTATAATAAAATTGTAATCTCTGTATGTTTGTTTGTCCGATCATAACTCATGAACCCCAATTCGCCTCAAATTTTGATTGGGGAACTCGGGAAAACCACGGGATTTTTCTTAGTGTGATTAACTATAAGTACACTGTTTGTTTGTTTGTTTGTCCGATCATAACTCATGAACCTCTGTGTACACTGGGCAACGCCTAGTATTATTTTTGTTGGAAATGTGAATACTTTAGGAGTACAAGACAGAGTGGAGTTTCTAAATCCAGAGATCATTCATTTTTCAAGCACCTCGCGGAAACATACGCAAACAACCATCAAACTATGCGGGATAATTCAAAATGCAGAAGCTGGAATTTTAAGGTAATATTACAGCATACAGTTTGTCTTATTAAACAATTTAGTCTTAACTACAGACGCACATTTTTTTGTGATTCATACCCAACTTGTGAATATATCACAAAAATATTTTTAGCAGAACCATGAGAAAAATGTGTAAAAAAGTATATAGATATCATGTAAATTGGAACACACTGCATATATCTATTCTTTTTTTCAATATTACTATTATTTAGAATGGAGTAACTAACGGGGCTGATTGGTATGCTTTAGGTATAAATAAAAAAAAAACAATCAATTAAGATTTTGCGGAAAATTGATTTAAAAATAGTAATTAACTAATGTATAGTTGGAGGTATGCAGGACTTTAATTATCTTTTCTCCAACGGAATGGAGATCACACTGGAGGTTTCCTGCTGCAAATATCCTAAAAAGTAAATTAATAATTGTTAATTAAAATACAAGGTTTGAGCCTTTTCCTCTAAACATCACTAATCAATTGAACATGAAGTTGCAATTTTTAACGTTTAATTTGATAATCGTCACCGAAACAGTTAAAATTTAAAGCGCTAACAGTTAATCCGCGAAAAACAGTTGACTCAAATTTCTGCGATCTCTCATGATTTAATTTTCCTCGTCATTTGTTAATCTTATTCTTTAAAGATATTCTAGGTGTTGACAACACAAAATTCAAAGAACCACAAATTTTTTTAAATTACATATCTCTTTTTTAAATCCATTTTGATGATTTTAATCTTGAAACGTTTAAAAATCATGTTTACTGAGGTTTAACTTTTTTCAGGGATCATCTTAACAAATTATGGGAAGAGAATCGGGACAGCTTGTTTGCATATATAGAACAGGTATAATATTAACTTTCCTAGTTTTTAATAATATCAAATATTATCGAAACATGTTTTTTTTCTTGTAAATGTTAATGAACAGGGAGTAAGGAATAGAAGAGAGATATAACTGACGCGGTTCGCCCTACCATTTGATTATACATGCTTTGCAGACGGTACTCCATTTGTATAAGAAATATTCAGAATAGGTTATTGTATACGCGGTAATTGTATACAAGCATATGTATAATCATATGGTAGGGCAAACCGCGTCAGTTATATCTCCCTTCTATTCCTTACTCCCGGGTTATTAATCTATCCAAATCTTGACACGTTCCATGGTTCACACTACTAAGTGGATACTTCAAATTAATGCACGATTTCAAGCGATCCTTCATGCATAGATGGCTACAATGCACGATTCAGAACAGCACTCTTAAAAGCTTTGTCTTATCAAGAATAAATTTGAGAACAAGGTTCAAATTTTGATAACGGATTATTTTTAATGGGGTTTTATTTAATAAAGTGATTTGAGCATTTCTACTGCAGAAAAATCTAAATAGCTATTATTAGAATTTAACATTTTTAAACTGGAAAAATGGCAGTGTCTTCTACGTTATTTAATAGACAAAAGTTTCAAGGGAACCGATGTGAATCGGTTCCTTCAAGATGATATAATTTATAATCTAGGTTCATAGAGGTTTCAAGGGTTTAGTGCTCAGGAACCAAATTCCAGTTAGTGATGCAATAGTACAGGTTAAACATTAAAAACATTTAATGGTGTTTTCAGGAAAAATCAAATTGGAAAAGGCTGATACGGAATGAAATAAAATAGTGTCGATAGAAAGATGTTATAATTCAGAACGTTAAATCGGCATTTTCTCCGAACACGGTTATCTTTGAAATAAGACTTATACAATGGGTAGCTAATAAGGTATTTAGTTTACCCTAAAAAAAAACCAAATAAGTGAAAGAAGATAAATTGATAATAGTGATTCAAAAAAACCTCATTCCAGCCTTCTGCTGGAATGAGGATTGACTTGAATTAAATTTGCAGTGGGAACTCGATAAATTCCAGGTAAAGCTGGGTTACCAATTTTCTTTATTCCAGGTATACAATCTGCAGTCTGGAGAGCAGACTAGAGATGTTCATAGTTCAGAACTAGGAGAATATTGGAAACTACTCTTACCAGGACAATATAGGTAGCTAACTATGTATACCTGCAGGACAATATAGTTAGGAAACTATATATACCTGCAGGACAATATAGGTAGGAAACTATATATACCTGCAGGACAATATAGGTAGGAAACTATATATACCTGCAGGACAATATAGGTAGGAAACTATATATACCTGCAGGACAATATAGGTANGGGGGGCGGCCGGGCGCGCGCCCTCCCCTAGCACCTGAGAGGGGGGGGGGCGCCCCCCCTTGCAGAATGAAAAGAAAGAAAAAATGGCGAAAATCAGTATCACAGGAATAAGAAAACCAATAGAGTTATTGTAGAAATTTTATTATACTATAGTTAGTTTTAAAAAAAGATATTTTTATCTTTCTTAATTCTCAAGGCTAAATTAAAGGAATTGAAATTTTGCCAGAAACTCTGATATTTTAATCCCTTTAATTTTATCTTTGAAACCCAATGTCGTAGATATTAAACTTTGAATTCTTTTGGTAAAATATTCCAAGTTTGAAATATCAAATGTTTACACCACTCGGTGCAAAGATTTAGGGATTAGAATAAACTCAGTTCCAAATCTAGAGAAAATGCTGAACCTGGCAAATTTCTAACTGATTATCATATTTGATAACTAACAAGATTTATCTTCTTTGGCAGAAGTTCCATAAAATCGAAAATAAATTTAGATTATGAATGTTGGTTAGATCAATCATTAATTCAATAACTTCAAGAGAAAAGGTAACATTATCTGTCCTTTTACAATGTAGATGATTGAATTTATTATTTAACTATGTATTTTTATGTTTTTTTTTCCCAGAAACTATAAAGGATTATTTCTTGCAATTTGATCTGTAATTAAACCAGGTACTTAAAAAATACTCTTTTGCGATTCGCACACATATTTAATGATTATGAATTGACTCATATCATTCATTTTACAGCTGTTGGAAGTATAAATTTTGTAAAAACACAAGAACAAATTAACCCGATTTGAATTGAACACAGCAAAATCTGCATGCAACAGCTTAAAATTTCCTTTTTTCGACTTCAAACCCTTTAAAAAGCACTTTTGTTTTTGAAAAATGTTCGAAAAGGGGGGGGGAACCCCCCTTAACCTCCCTAGACCCATACAAAATAATATATTGCCCCCCCCCCTAGCAAATGTCCTATTTGCGCCCCTGTATACCTGCAGGACAATATAGGTAGGAAACTATAATGAAAATAAAGAGAACATAAACAAAACATGAATACTTGGCTAATCAAAGCTTTTATGGGTACCCTTCTGAATCGCGGATTCCCATCTTTGCGTGGATATCTTGTGAAGTTAAAAGTTTAATGAATCGGACATGTCCCTTGATCAATTACATTAAAATTACAACAACAGTCTCTTTCACGCCTTCCTCAATACAGGGTGTCCCAAAAAGCATGGGAATTCAGTGACGAATTGGATATCGTCTTTGTCATGAATTAGCATTGTAATACCTATTTTCAAAAGCTAAAATATTATTATGCCTGCTTGAGTTTATTTTATGAAAACGGTAAAAGACTGTAAAGATGTGTCTTTTATGTCTCCGCAAGATGAACAGTTGAGACGGACAAGTTTACTCTATTGTATACTGTAATTTTCTTGTTTTAATAAGTACAACCGTATGCAGTCAAAACATATACAAACAAAATGTGAACATAGCAGACGAAACTCTTACAGATTACAGCTTTTCAAAGAATTATCTTAAAAGACGATATCGAATTCGTCACTGAATTCCCATGTTTATTGGGATACCCTGTACTATGAATTAAGTACAAATGTTCTAGAATACAAGGAGTAAAGAAGGATTGTAGTTGAGACGGGTTCAGGTATTCCTCAAAACTATGAAATAAGTACAAATGTTCTAGAATACGAGGAGTAAAGAAGGATTGTAGTAGAGACGGGTTCATGTATTCCTCAAAACTATGGATTAAGTACAAATGTTCTAGAATACGAGGAGTAAAGAAGGATTGTAGTAGAGGCAGGTTCATGTATTCCTCAATACTATGAAACAAGTACAAATGTTCTAGAATACGAGGAGTAAAGAAGGATTGTAGTAGAGACGGGTTCATGTATTCCTCGGATTTTATTCAGGTAATTTTACCACTAATAACTCGTTAGAAGTATATAGTGGTAGGTGATTATATGAATACAATTAAGACGACTTTTGATCGTTAACAAGCTTACAAGTGATCAAAAAGAAGCTTATAAATTGACAGTTTTCCTAGACTTCTATGTATATGTGTATCCATGCTGTTTAACAGCTTCATATAATTCAAAATTAAAATCGAAAGTCGTATTTATTGTATTGATTTCTGCGACAGTTTTTCCTGACTTCTATGTTATTGTGTATCTAGGTTCGAGGTTCTAGTTGGCTGAAAGTCGATCCACCCAGTGGGGTTTTCGTTTCGCAACCCCCCGGATCAACTTGGATCCGTAAAGACCTTACCGAACCTTTCCTGAAGCTGTGACTTACAATTATAGATTAAAAACTTTCAGAAATTAAGGACGAAACCTAAATGCTACAAAGAGTTAGGTGTGACAAGTTAAAGAGTTCAGGGACGAATATTTGATATGGAATTGATCAGGAACAATAGTTCCGAGACTCTTAACAGCATGTCAAACCTAGCTCTGTGTAGTATCTAGGAGATATGTTTAGTCTTGATTCGGTTGAGAAAGGTTACGACCTTAATTTTCAGAAGTTCTTAGTTCAGCTTCAGGAAAGGTTCCGTAACTATGACGGATCAAAATTGATCCGCAATAAATTAAACCCAGCCTCAGAAACTAAGAAAAACTAATTAAACCAAAACCTAATATAAAAATATTATTATGACAAATTTGTTAAGGTGAATGTGACTGGGTTACAGCCTTTGGTTCGAGGCGATCTGGTTTTGGATAAAAGAGAAGAATGTACAAAAAGTAAAAATGAAGAAGAATGGATAAAATTATAGTTCTGTAATATTAACTCCGTGCACTCGTCTCTTAAATATCATACTTTGTGGTATTACCCTGTATTACTATTAAACATACAGATGAAATTTAAAACATAACATAACAGAAATATAAATAAATAAAATGATCAACCATCATTTTGTCCACCATTACGACTGGCAGGTTGTGAAGGGCTAAGCAATAGTCAAGTTAAACGGCAGGTCGGTATTTAATAATTAAGAAAACTAATTCTGAAAACGTATCCACCCCCAAAGTAGGAGAACTCCTACTCCAAAACTTTTTGAACGTCGAATTTGCGCTCAAACTCAGGATTTACAGATCTTTAAAAAGTTTGATATGTTTAAAATGAATCCGAAAGAAGTTTTCCACAACACTGCATACTCAGTTCAACTAACTTACATAGCCGGTCACTCCCTTTAAGTAAAAATTAAACTAAATAAATTTTAATACAGAGAGAACCAGAACAGGTTAATTTTTAAAGATTACATTGTAACTATTATGATTTTATAAATTATGGAAAGGGCTTAATTAGAGAGTTACGAATACTATTAAAAATTTTGCGACATTTCTAATCAAAATGTTTTGAGATTGACGACTTGAATTCCACTTTTTACTGATCGTCACTGTAAGAAATAAATCAATTTATGACATGAATATCTTCACAATCTTCTATCTCCACCAGTTCCTGTCTTGTCTCCGGGGTCTCCAGTTCAACTAGATCCTCGTCCACATCTAGACCTTCTTCTTCAACCTCGCGACACAGTTCAAAAGGTTCTCCAGCCTTTCTGTTTACGGGAACAAGTTTTTAAAAGTAGATCTAATCGATTTTTTAAAAAACCATTTACATGCATTGACATTTACAAAGAATTGTAGAATTTCATGTCAATCGAGAGACAACTTGAAAAGCGTTTTTAACTATAAAACAACTTTCGGCAGTCATTTTTTGACCTAATTTGCCTTCATAAATCAAATCACTTTGAATTGAATTAAATTGAGTCGAATCGAATAAAATAATAAAATCGAAATATAATCTAAACCGTTAACCCAGGTCTTCTTTTAATTAATGTCCCTGTGTCCTGAGAGTACATGTTCCCTCAAAGCTTTTATGGTTGGAAACTAAAAATAATATTTATATCAATTGTTTTCACTTCTAGGATTCTTTATGCTCTGCAACAAATAAGAATGATGAATTAATGCCCATTTCTAACAGAGCATAAGCAATACAGTTGTTTTCATAGTTGTAATTTTTTTATATTTAAAAACTTAGGAACAAACATAAAAAATAAAAATATGGAAAAAAACAGCACCATAGGGATCACTTATGCAGAAAATAAGGATTAAAACCAAAACCAAAAATAAAAATGGCCGCCCCGGTAATTACCTTCTGCGCGCATGCCGCGCATACATGACTGTCTGGTGCTAGATGTTCTGACTCCACGTGGTTCTGACAGGAAAGTTTGGCGTAGAAAATACGTTTGCACTCGGTGCACTTCCAGCTTTTATCAGGAACCTATAAATGATTTTATTTCTTAAAAAAAAAAACAAAAAAAAATTCCAAAAAAATCCAATTCCACTTCATTCAATTGAGATCAATTTCATGGAATAGAAAATCAAAGAAAAGGATTTCCATAAAAGGTAATTAATTAAAAAGAACAGAACTTTTAACTTCTCAATGAAATAAAGGGGGGGGGGGCCACAAAGCAAACATCCAAGAAAAATGTAACAGCAGAATGAGGGAGGGAGGGGGGCTATGCGGCCATGAGCCCAGCAATATCCAGTTCGAACCCAGGTAGTAAGCAGAATCCTGCCCGAGCCCCGCGGAATCCTTTTCGAGACAAGCAAAAGAATGCTCAAAAAATAAACTTTTATTTATTGATAATTGACTTAAAAAAGAAATATGTTCAAAAATGAAAACGTGGAGGAATTACTGAAAAATAAAAATCAATGCTTTAAAACTCTTTTTAGTGTATAACTTTGTCTTCTTAGATTTACCAAATATTTTGATGAGTAGAATAAACTAAACTAACCTTAAGAATAGCTGTGAGAAACCCTCCTCCACCTGCTCCAGCAAGTGTTCCTCCAACCGAGTAGGGTTCCAATGCCGTGAAGATATTCTTGACAAGCTCCGGTTCAGCTCCAGGTGCCAGGGTTCGCTTAATCCGCCAATATTCAGTCAAACAATCTCCGAGGCAGTTAATATTTTCCTGTGTTACCGCCTCCCAACAGGTTCCCGCCAGGCGGTAATTTTCCTGAAAGCATTGATAGATCGTTGGTTCCCGACTGTACCAGTTTCTGATCACGTTCTGAAGCAGGTTCTTTGCCAGGCGGGGTTTCCCGGTATACAGGACAAGGAGACGCTTCTCCAGGGCAGTGATAAATCCTGGAGAAGGTTTAAAGGGTTGGACACTTACTGAAACATTATGATCCTGTGGTGTTGTCCCTAGATTGAAGCCTGGATGTAATCCTCCAACCTGATCCTGCCATCCCCCTCCTGTTGTCAACAGCTGTTCAACAACAAGCACAGCATGAACAACATCACGAGTAGAGAACCTGCAACCTACTGCAGTCCAACATCCTGCTACCACAGCTCCAGCAAGTATACTAGATGTTCCCAAACCACTCCCTTGGGGGAGTTCAGACCACAGTTTCAGTCTTAATCCTGAGCCAAGAATATTCTTCAACTGAACTTGAACTGAATCATTGCTTTCCAAACTTAAAAGTTTTGCTGAAATCAGACAACATTTGACCAGGGCTCCCTTTGCGGTTGGGTTACAATGATTCTCCAGATCGGAGTGTGATCTGATGAACACAACCTCTCCTTCATCCAGGACTATTTCTATCTGTAGTTCAGGTATTCTCCGCACAAGGCAACCAATAGGCTTCTTCCCATTTAGGGTTATTGCTAGATCCACAACCTTACCTCCAAGTTCGTAGCATATTGGTGGCGTATCCGTCCATCCTCCGGAGAGATCTAACCTGGCAGGACATTGAATCTTAATCTCCTTCTCCATGTCCGGCCTAGCCTCTGCAGCACTAAGATCAACCATGATCTGGGATTCTGCAGACATGACTGTTCTCCTGATAAGAAGTTGAACCACGCCCTCGTAATGACGAGCAGCACGAACCATCCTTACTGGTCTATCCAACCATAAAGATCTAGCCTTGGTTAAAGCAATCAATCCATCTACATATTCTCCTTTCTCCATCAAACTAAACCCATGAGAAAAATCCTTATTATTTGCTGGACCGCTTCGTAACCCCCCTTCGCCCTTTGCCATGCATCCAAGTAAATCGGCAGTCATAGCCAAGATAAAGGCAAGCCTACTTGTTCGCTCTGCCAGGTCCTTGGTTGCTGAATCCGCAAGTGCCATCTTATCTAAGACCTGGAGCAAAACAGTGCTCCAACCATCTTTCACGGCAAGATTAAAGATATCAGTATACTTGGTAGGGTTGATAAGTTCTCCAGTCTCCTCTAAACTCCTACAAACCATCTCCTGGTGCAGTGATGACCTGGTTGCCAAAGAAACTCCTATATCATGGTTAGAAGTGATAAACTCCAGACTCTGGAGTTCCCCGTTAACCCTATAAAGCTTAGCAGTATACATTGTCCGAAAATTATCCGAAATATTATTCCAAACTTGCTCTGGGGTTAGATTAAGCTGGTTTAAAGCATCAGTCCATGGTATCCCGAACAGCTGACCTCCATGACCATTACATGGCTCAAAAAATTTATCCGTCAATGAGAAGATAACAGAAACCAGGGTTCCAGAGACATTGTAAATAATATTCACAGGATCTTTGCAAATATTCAACATTACACTGCTCTCTTCCTTCAAATTGGCAGTGTATCCCATCACAAGTTTGCAGGATGTATCCTTGATGGAAGAATCAAAGATTATAGAATCTCCTAATCTGAAAACCAAACTTGTATTTCCAAATGTGTATGGATGAATTAATTTACACTGAATAATCAGTTCTGATTCGTCCAAACTTTCCCAAGGAGGAAGATATTTATGCTCCAGTCCCTTGAGAACATTTTCCACAATCCGAAACTCTCTCATCTCTGCCCAAACATGTTTCCGAGCCGCCACCATGGCTGGGGAGGAGTGGCGGCCACGGAACAAAGTTTTCCCGCAATTTCCGATGAGAAAATCCGCAAAGGAAACCTGTGTACAGCAGGCGGTAAGAATATCATAGTACAAGGATATTTTTAGAGAAGTTTCCCCGCTATCTGCACCCATATATGTACATCCATCCAGGGGGGTCAGGCAGTGAAGTTTAACCAACGTCTCAGCAACCTTGGGAGAGAACCAAAGAAGACCACTTAAGATGTTAACCATTCCGTCTTGACAAAATTTCTCAATCTCATTCCTAAAAAATTATCAACATGAAAACTTGTCAAACAAATTTAATTTCTGTAATAGGAAAAAAGTACAATGTGTAGAAGGGGGGTTGTGGGGGATGGGGCTTTCCTTAAACATTTGTGCCACGGGCGAAATTTTATAGAGGAAATTTACATCGACAGTGTAAATAAATATGATAAAAGGTGTTTTTTTTTCTTTTCAGTTTATAAAAATAAACATTTCGCACTTTTTTCTGCTTATTATTGATGGATTTTCAAGAAAAAAAACTAAAAATTGACATTTTTTCTAGGTCAGAAATACCACAAAACGGGCTGACTATATACAATCCAATAAAAAGACAAGGTATATAAATACTTGTAATGAAGATAAGACCATTAGAACTTACTTATCAGGTTGATACAGAATATTTTGCAGAACTGAGTTTGATCCGGAGACTGCAACTCCGTGCTGGGTCGCGTAGTGGAGGGAAGACGGGACGGAAAACAAGGAGATATCTCCGGAGTAATCAATTCCTTTCGAAACATTTAACTCCCCTAAAATAAAATATTGATCTAAAATCTAAATACAATGTTATTTTCATAAAAATGAGAAAATCATTTTCGTGAATGGAACAATAAACCTGCAACCTACTGCAGTCCAACATCCTGCTACCACAGCCAGCGTATCCTGGTTTTCAAGTACCCCAGCGGGGATAGGGTTAATTTCAAAACCTAGCTAAGAACCTTCCCGTGGATATGATGAGCAACTAACTCAAAATTTGAGAAAAATTGGTTATTTAAGCCAAATCGATTGAATTTGATACATCGACGGTTGTAAACTAATAAATTAACACAGTTAAGGTCTGATTCCAGGTTCACAGGGAAATTCACTATAAGAACATCCAAATGTGACTGTATCTCCTGTATTAGAGACTAAAATTAACATAGATGCCCCCAACCTCAAAAAAATAAAGAACGCTGTTCATGAATTTAAGAATTTGTTTTATACAGATTCCTGTTAGTCAAATAATTTGATGCAGAATTTTTGAGATTTCTCGACTCAAGATTTTTAATGGCAATGTTAAAAAAATCTAAGAACATTTGAAAAGTAAAGAACTTCCCGGTTTTTAAGCCAAATCTTTAAATTAATAGCAGGGGGCAACTATGATTAAACCATTTATTTAATATTTTATCACCTTGTTCCAACCATAACACTAACATCAAAAAGAAAGGAGTCCTCCCGCACTTCCTATCAACAAGTGCTCATTTATTCTAAGGTTTAGCAGGTTCTCATATTTTTTATCTGTGCTAACATGCGAAGTTCTTAAACTTTTTTTAAAAACCGAAATGCTTTTTTCATTAATAATGATAAGATAAAGTTATCCATATGCATTGCCATAATGAAATGTTTTTATGATTATGAAGACGACAGTATTAAGAAAATCAGAATATGATTTATAATATAAATAATTGGTGACTCTTATATCTAAAAAATCCCATATCAAGAACATTTTTTAATTTCTGGTTTACAGGGCGCTTTCTATTTGCAAATCTTACGTACATTTTGAAATACTAAAAGTAAAAAATTTGATAAGATTTTTCTGTCTTCATTGGTGGATTTCCAAAATTAAAAGAAAAAATCAAAATGAGGCAAAATCTTTGAATTCTGAACGGCAGGCGGGTTAACCCGTTTTAACGTTTAATGGGGTACCTACAATGGATGAGATTTCAGAGACGACTGTACGGAATTTGTACATTCCGTTTCCTTAAAATCATAATGCCCTGCAACTGTAAACTGGATTCTTTCTTTGCCAAATATTTGACACTGTAATCAATGCAGAAGACATTAATTTACCTTGAAATCGTAATGTAAAATGAGTATCTGCATTCTGCATTAAATAAATATATCAATTAATTTGTTTCATAAAAAAATTATAAATAAATAAATTGATAAAGTTAAAAATAAAAGATGTGTGCAAGTCTTTAAAAAAAAGATAGAACGAGTTCAACAAGTTACATACATTCATAAGTTCCGGTCTCTTAAAATTCAAAGTTGGACCCCTAAGACTGTCAAATGAGGGAGGAAAGGCAACCTAACCCACACAGCTTCTGAACCTCATTTTACATATTTGCGGCAGTGCGCGTTCCCATAGGGCTTCCGAACCTCCACCAAACAGTCTTCCGGGAATGATCTTCTGTTTATAATCGTCAATTTAAATGTATTAAAACAAAATTTTCAAATTTTAACTCTATGATGGCGTTTAAATTGCTAAAATTATATTTTTCCCTGATAAAGCTAAAGATTAATATGCAAGAATATAGAGAAAATAGCTTTTAAATATAGATTTGTTTCCTCAACAAATCTTGGAATGGCTGGGACTTTCATCTAAATAGCTTTTACTAATAAGTAGACAAAAGAAAAATGTTGATTCGAAAAAACACCGCAGTTCGTAAATCTTCTTTCTAGTTATTAAGATATTCAAAGAAAACAAAACTCTTTTATAACCTAATTTGTTTAAAACTGTTGGGGCTTTTTTTACGAGCGCTACAGATTTGAAATACATTATAGATAATTTCTTTAATTTGAGCGTTGCCGAAATTGCCTTTTAAAGTTGTTTTCCAGGTAAACTAACTTACTACGCTTTTCGTCTGCAAACAGAATTTGTGTAGGTTTACGTTCTGACGTAACAGATTCTTGGACCAATCAGAGCCTAAACTAGGAAAAACTAACCAATCACAGACGTAGATTTATACAAAGGGGAGGGGGAAGGGGAAAGAGCAGAAACGCGATATCAAACTAAATCTACAAAGTTTTGGGTTTTCCAGCCCGAACTTTGATTTTAAAACAGAAAAAAAACTATGAAAATGGTAAGGAAACTAAAGATGGACTACCGTGCTTAAATAATTGAATTAGTCCCGTTTTAATTAGAAATTTACGATTATAAATGGAAGATCATTCCCGTAAGACTCTTTGATGGAGTTTCAGAAGCCTTATGGGGACGCGCACTGCCGCAAATAAGTAAAATGAGGTTCGGAAGCTGTGCGGGGGAGGTTGCCTTACCGCCCTTGTTAAATAGAACCATTTTTATATTTGATATTTAAGCAACTGGTAAACTTTTTACTTTTTAACTACATGACATACACATAAGATTGCTCAATTGTCGTCTTCTAAATCCTAAGATTTATAGGGCTCGCTGTAAGAATGAGATTGTAATGTATTTCCCACCTGGACCAGGCGGTCCTTAGTGAGTCCCTCCAAGGCCTCCTCTAGGGTTGCCAACATGTCTCTGTCCTCTTCCGTCTGGTTCCCGGACTCAGCTATCACCCGTAGGCTGGCCAGGTCCTGGATCAACATGGTCACAGCGGTTTTGAATGGGGGTCATCTAAAATTACGTTGACACAGACAAATAATAATAATAATTGAGTGATTAGTGGAAGCATTGCTTAGAAAAGTTCAGCGGTTTGATAAAAAAACCAGCCTTTACAGCTAAACCGGTTTTGTGCTATGTTTACAAGATCTTAGTTTAATTGAATGAAACATGAAACATAATTAGTTCTAAGAGGTGGAGAAAGGGAAATATGAAAATAAAGTTTAACAAAAAAATGCTGATAATCCATTCCTCTTGACACTCTTGGGAAAGCATCGCCATTTCAGCGATATCACAACCCTAATAGAATATTCAGATTAATCGAAGACACATAATTTGTGCAAAAAAATAGTGAAAAAAGAAATGTAAAAAAATAATGTAAACAAAAAGGATAGACAGTACCTTGACAGACTTTAAAAACTTTTGTGTGACATATGACTGTATGAGAAGAGTAGAAAGATTTAGTGACATATCTTCTGTTATATCCTATCTGTTCGGTTCCATAGTAGTATAAACCTATCGTGTAAGAATTTCCGTTCTTAAACGACTCAGGATAAAAATGTTCAATAATTTTATCTTCCTAACTCTGAGCCCGTGTAAGAATGGTAATTAATGCTCGGTCAGAGCGTGAAAGAATGTATATTTTATGAAACTATAGTGTACTTCATCATTCTTCCTCACCTCCTCGTGAATTTCATAATGAACGTGATATAAAGTAATCATCGTGCTATAAAGTTAAATTAGCTGTACTTTATAGCACGTGTGCTATAAAGTTTTGATTGGTTCGCGGGTTTTTTCAAAGAAATTTAGGATATTTCCAAAATATTTTTTTTTCAATTGAAATGAAAATAAAATTGAAATCAACTTAAAATTTTGACTTATGCTTTGATGCAAAGCTTATTTGATCTATAAATAACCATTGGAATAATACAATACAGAAACGTTTCATAAAATTACCTTTAACCCTATTATACTGGTACAACGTGCTATGAAGTTTTAAGTCTTGAATTTTCTCTATATCACGAAGGTTATCGCCTTTATAGACTATATTTTGTACCTCGCTAAAGCTCGGGACAAAATTAAATCTAAAAAGACTTGAACCTTCTAGATAAAGAGACGATTTCTGTCCAAAAAAACTTTATAACACTGCGAACGAAAAAAAACAGTGTTATAAATAGTTATAATATATTCTTACACGCTCCAAATATTACAGTGTTATAAATAGTTATAATATATTCTTACACGCCCCAAACATTAAAGAATGGAAATTATTACAATAGTTGAAGAATATTCATTGACAACTATGATATAATATCAATATTAACTCGACGAGATAAATATGCCTGAATAGACGGAACTAAAATGCCAAGCCAAACAATCTGAAAATGCTCTATATGCATAGTCGCAAATTTCTCTGCTGAGATTTAATCGATTAAAACTTAGATTATAATATCGGATATCTTCGTCTCAGAAGACGCGTGAACTTGTGAAGTTAAATTCTTACTTAAAAATATTATCAGTAAACTCTAGCTTACATCAGAAATATTTTCAGTGATTGAAATCTCCGTCTTCAGGCCCTGGGAGTTGTCGGAGAAGAATTCATCCTCTCTAACTACTGGTTCATCAACCTTCATAGATTACCTATAAATCTAGAGATAAATTAACAGTGCTTAGAATTCGAATCCCAGAAGTACAAAAAATGTTTGCAAAGTGTATATCTATCCTGTGTTTTGGGAATCACTAACCCTTGTACGTATAAATTAGATTTTGTAGTACCAACTCTCAACCTCCCCTCTCTCATATACATATATCTGTAATACTATATCTACTTCGTCATATATTATAATTATAATTATTAATGGGAAAAATATCAATCAAAACCTGTTAAGAAACTAATCTCTGAACAGGTTTCCTCAAGTTTTAGTAAAAAACGAAACAACATTTGAAAATTCTTTATTTGTTTAAAAAATTCGGTTAATCCGAAAGATTTGATAATGGCATGAATACGGATCCGGATCTATTTTTTCCCCAGTATTCTAAGCACTGGACTCAATTCTAACTCATCTAATTTCCAAAATGAACTTGGGGTCGTAAATAAAATGAAATATTTCTAAAAAATAATAATCTAAGGATATCAAATTATAATATTAACTTACCTCATTATCCTGGAACACTGTATCTATTTGTGGAATGATCTCTACATCTGTTCCATGATTCTCTTCTCCCTCTTGTTCCAATTCTAACTAAGAAATTGTATTTTATTAGAAACAGTTTATAATCTTTAAACATATGGAATATGAAAGTTAAACATTTATTGAGTACTTTCACAGGGGTGTAAAACTTTGAAAATCTTTCCAAAAACCATCGATGACTTTTCCTGGCATGGTAATTCATTTTCAAATGTTTTTTTTTTGTATGCTGATATTCTACTTTAAAGGGAGTGACCGGCTATGTAAGGTAGTTGAACTGAGTATGCAGTGTTGTGGAAAACTTCTTTCGGATTTATTTGAGACATATTAAACTTTTTAAAGATCTGTAAATCCTGAGTTTGAGCGCAAATTCGACGTTCAAAACTCCTACTTTGGGGATGGATACGTTTTCAGATTTAGTTTTTTAATTATTAATTAACGACGACGAAAAATAAAGTAAAAATTATACAGTAATCTAATTAGATGGCTAGGAACACATTTCACAAAAGAAATTTGTCAATAAATCAATGCTAAAATCGATTATTTCGTTTTCATTATTATATTGAATTTCTAATTTTCTTTGAATTTATTCGCAGATTTCTTCAAATTCTTTAAATGTCGTCTTTTCAATAATAATTCCAGAAAATCTTTAGAAAATCTTTGTGAATAATGAGAAACCAGAATAATGAGATAATAGAAACTAATAATTGAACAAGATTACTTACTTTCGATGATAAGATTAATTTTATTTTCTCAAAATGTTCATAAAAATGACGTCTGTAGTTTATTGTAGAATATATTTACATTTTATGTCGTCGTTAATTAATAATTAAAAAAACTAATTCTGAAAGCGTATCCACCCCCAAAGTAGGAGTATTGAGCGTCGGCTTTGCACTCAAACTCAGGATTTACCGATCTTTAAAAAGTGTAATATGTCTCAAATGAATCCGAAAGAAGTTTTCGAAAACACTGCGTACTCAGTTCAACTACCTTACATAGCCGGTCACTCCCTTTAACACTACTTTTACTTATTTCTAAAAGATTATATATTTAAAAACCCAGATAGAATGTGGACTTTCAAAGATGACTGCACAGAATTAATTCAGCCTTCCCTTACATTTAAAGCTTCCTACAGCTGTAAGCTTCTTTCCTTGCAAAGTCCTTTAATACTATTTCAAGACTATTTTGAACACATTAAACCATGTTTAAATTTCAAATTTTTATATTGAGGTCGTCGCAAGTGTCTCATCTTTTGTGGGTAACTCTGTGTATATATATAAACCCTACCTCGTTAAACCTAGAGAACTGGTTTCTAGACGCAGGTTTAGGTCTCTTCTTAAAGTTCACGACCTAAACAAAACTAAATCTTTAAAGGAACTGTAGACGTCATTTCAAATGACTCTCCAGTCAAATTAGGAAGAAATTGTCGTTTTTCTTTCATGAAGAACATTCATTCTTAATCTGACACAATGTTAAAGAGTAATGTGGTGAATCGGACCTAATTGAAATGTAACTTCATTGACTGATAAAACATAAAAACAAACTCAAATTTTATCGTTTTTTTTTAATGTAAAGAAGAAATTCGAGACTTCAGCATTTGGCAGAAAATATCATTAATTTTAAAATTTCTAACATAATTATGGAGAAGAAAGAGTTTTCCTGATGACTCTTTCCCCCCATCCTTCGATAAATAGCAAGTCTTTCTTTACCTTGCTGACTTTTATCTCATCCTCAGAATCATATGATGTTGGAAGATATGACCGCTTTCCATGACCTCTGATGGAAGATGTTGGACCTCGCCTTTCAGCCTCACCTTGGGATGGGTGCCCTTGAGGTTCCGAGGTTGAGGTTGAAGATTGAGAAGGTTGGTTAAGGACGGATTTTCTAGTCTTCTCTGACAACGAGACAGAACTCACGGTTTTTTGGTTTATTTTAGTTTGAGATTTCTTAGTTTTCTCCGGGGTCAAGTTTTGTTCTTCCTATGAAAATATGGAGGTACAACAGCATTTCTTAAGATCAAATTAATTTTGATGCAACGGATCCTGGATTCGTCGTGTATTTGTATGTATCCATACCCAGATCATAATTATTCTTCAGGTTTTACTAATTTAACTTTCATCAAATTTTTTCCTTCTTGTCACTAATTTTTGTACTTAACTTGATTTGGCATTCAATAATTAGGAAGGTTAAAATAATATATTACTGCGGATCCAAGGGTTAAAATATGGACCAAAACAAAATATTGGGCTCTAAGCCCAAATCAAAATAGTTAAAAAATCGCATATTAACAAAAATTTCCAAATTTCTAAATGGTTCACACAAAAACAAGCGAAATGAGAAATAAAATGTTTTAAAATTTCTTAATAGTTAAATATTTAATATTTAAGAAATGTTCAAGACCTGGATCCGGATAAAATTTTTAAAAGCAGATCCAGGATCCGGATCTGCATCAAAATGAAATGGATCCTCAGCACTGGTTTTGGTTGATATTTTTCTACTCGAATCCGAATCCAGGAAGCACATATATTGCGGATTAGGACTAAGCACATGGGCCGAGTATGTATTAAAGGATAATAAAATATATTTATGAAAAACTATAGTTTCGAAAAAATACCTTAGAGGTGGAAGGGTAGGTAAGACCACGAACCTGAAAACACACAATTGTAATATATCAAAATCTTTTTTAGTGCTTTTTAACTATTTAATCATTAATGGCAATTCAAAATATAATAACAAAATCAAAGCTTCTTTTCCAAGTTCAATCTGGTTTGATATTACGAAATCAAAACTGGAGAGTGGCCTTATAGGCTTGAACAGTGACCATTCAACATTCTGACAAGAATAATAGAATTCATTTTATCTTTAAGCATCATTTTTTTGAAGAAAAACAAACTTTAAAACAAAAGACACTTTCTAAACCCTATTTCTCATGCAACCCAATGTCGTATACCTTAGACATTTCAAACTATGAATTCTGTTAGAACAACTATTCTGAGTTAAAAAAAATAAAAGGTTTACACCATCAGGTTGCACAGATATAGGGTTTCGAAAATACGAGTTTGTGGCAAAGAGTCAATTTCTTTACCTCTAATTCTTTAGCTAGACGAAGGAAGGAATTAAGGTTGTCTCGACATACCATAACTTCACCCTGGTACATGAAATCCAGGATACTTTGCAGGGTTTCATAGTTTACACCCTGTACATAGAATACGGTACATGAAATCCAGGATACTTTGCAGGGTTTCATAGTTTACACCCTGTACATAGAATACGGTACATGAAATCCAGGATACTTTGCAGGGTTTCATAGTTTACACACTGTACATAAAATACGGTAGATTGCTTAAATGTCATCTTCTTATTCCAGAATTTTATGAATCGCAACTATGCAAGTTTTAACTCGAAACGTGAAGATTGAGAAGTGGCATTAAGATCATCATTCTTTGCGGGTTACTTGTCCTTAAACACAGATATATACAAGGATGGGTATATTGTATATATATTACTCAGTATACTCTTGAATACTGAACTGTAAGATCTCCAATGATAAGCTTTACACTATCAATTTATCCTGTTTGCGAATGAAGACACCATTAGAGAACCCCCTTTTCAGTTAAATTAGTAGCTTGGCAACTACTAGAATGTCCGATTTTTTTTTCAAAATTAGCCGAAATGAAGATTGAGGAGTGGCAATAAAATGATCATTCTTTGCAGGTTACATGTAACTTACATACAAATATATACAAGGACTAATATATTGTATATATATTACTCAGTATACTCTTGAATACTGGAATGTAAGATCTATATTATACCTGAAGATATATACAAGTTAGTAGCTTGCAACTACTATGATGTCCAAAAATATTTTTGTTTTTTCTTAAAAATTAGCCAAAAAGATATGAAAGATGTATTTTAATAAGATAAAATGAAGAACAAGAAATATAGAAATGTTTGTATCTGCTATCATATAGCTATTTATACTCTTGAATACTGGACTGTAAGATATATATTATACCTGGAGATATATACAAGGATGGATACTGCTAGCTGTAGATGTATTACTCAGTATACTCTTAAATACTGGACTACAAATGGAAAGAACAAGTCGATGACAGAGCAGTTCCCTTAAAAAATGTTCAATATAATAAAACAAGACATTCATATATACATGTTGCCTATAGACGGCGAAACAGCTGGACCAGATGTGGACACTCATGGGTGGCCCCGTGTTATAGGCTAAAAAAATTCGATAATTATTTTTTTGGTTTTATTAAAACTTTTATCAAATTGTTTTTTCCATGGGGCAACGTCGGGATGCTCAGCTAGTAATCAATAAAAATGAAGATTTTAAAAATAATCATTAAACTTTACTGTAAACATAATACTAGCTTGAGAACCCAGCTGTGTCTAGAAAATGTCAGGGAATTCAACTGATTTCTTAGAAATTGTCGTTTTTCTTTCA